TTCTCAATTTAGTCAATATTGAAAACTGAGAAAAATTAAGCAAATTGTACAAAACTGTGAATTTAGACAAAATTCTCAATTTTAGTTATGATTTCATATTCAATATAAATATTATTTGATATATCTTGACAACTATGCTGCAAAATTATAAATTTTATAAAAATAAAATATCTACAATGAAAGTTATGATATTTTTAAAGTTAAAATAAGGGCAAAACAATTAATTTTTTTAAAAGGATACTTTTAAACCTCCCAAAAATCACAAGTATGGGACCTTATGGATTATTAGAGCATCTCTAACGGGTATGGGGTTGTTGCTGCGTATGATGCGCAATAGCAATTGTTGTGCACTTTGTTGGGCTTATTTCAGGACCTAATTTAGCAATCTAAACCGTTCACATTTTAGACGGTATTAAGTAGAATATACTTGTAAAAATTCACGTCAATCGAATATCGTTGGCCTTTTCATCAATCACATTTGTATTAAAAAAAATGAAAGATAAATGTAATTTGAAATATAAAACTCAATGAAAATGTAATTTGATAAAAGAGATTACGATATTTGATTGACGTGATTTTTTACAGATATATTCTACTCGATACTTTTTAAAATGTGAGCAGTTTATATTATCAAATTAGGCCCTGAAATTGGCCCAATAAGGTGCGCAAGAGTCACTATGCGCAGCAAGAACTCTAAATTGATCTCTATCCCATTAGGTATATAATACTTGTTTGTCAAAATGCCTAGTATGTGTATGATTCATTTTTTTCAACTCCAATGCACTAAGCATATAATTAAGTATTTTAACTCAACTCACATTCACTAACTACATAATGTATTTAATCATTAGGATAATTTCCCTCTATCTTTATTGCTGATGTTACATTCTATAAAATTAATAATATTTGGATAAATAGCTAAACTAAAGAGTATGGTTGGAATAGAAACATAAAATAGTTAATAAACAAATAAAATATATACTTTATAGTAATGTTTAGATAGGTAAAATGCCTATTACCGTTGGAGATACGCTCCGTTTATTTTCAAAGGTAGAATGGAGGGAATTCATAATGAAAGGATTAATAGTGGGGGGAAGTAAAATTGTGTTTGTTTTGATGATAGTTGTTGGTATAAGGATTGTTAAAATATTTAATATAAAATAATAAAAAATTAAAAAAATACGAAAACATTAAATATTAAACATTAATGTTAAAAAAAAATGCCCAACATATAAAAATTAAAAAAATAAAAAATTTCCAAAAAAAATAAAATAAATAAAATAATGATTTTTGTTTAACAAAAAATACAAAAAATTAACATTAATGTTTAAAAAACAATGCCGATCATGTAAAAAATAAAAAAATAATAAAAATAGTCCGGCAGACTAATTTCTAATATCAAGTCGCACTGGTCTATCCTAATCTCCTCCCCAAGGGATTCGTAGTCCAGAGGAGATTACGAATCCCTCTCCATCTCTCAAAATAACCATGATATTAGTGGATCCCACCTCACTATGAATCACAATCTCCTCCCTATAACCCAAAACAAACGGGGCCTTAGAAAGGCAAGATTACAATGACCTTCCCATGATGTTTGAAAAATATACAAGTATACTTATAATTTTGATCTAATTACATTTGACTTCCTTTCAGTAAGGTTAAAATGACTAAAACTAATACAAACAATTTAGAAACACAAAGATAAATAAAAAATATATATATTGTAATATAAAAGATATGATGACATAAATTTTCCGTACATATGATTTACGAATTATTGATAAAAATAAAGCTACATTTTATATGAATTAAAATATTAAGAAATTTTAAATATACAGCGTTTTTCAAGTTTTCTTAACATATGTCCTAAGAGTATATTTTAACAAGATTCTTTAAAAATTCCAAAACGACTTTTAATGATTTCTAAAAATTGTTTGGTTTCAATTTTCAGAATTTACTTTTTAGAAAATTCTATTTTTTCGTTTTCCATATATTTTTTTTATTTTCACTGATTTTTTTTAATATTTTAAGTAATTTTTTTAATTTTTAGACACACTTAACATAAATACACTTAAAAAGTATATTATTTGTGAAAAATATTTTAAAAAATTACTAAATACCAAAAATATAAAAAAATATTAAAATTCAGTATATTTTTTTATATATTTGTGTATTTATTAATTTTAAAAATATTTTTTACAAATATTTTACTATTTAGATACATCTAAGTAAGGTGTATTTAAAAAAGTAAAAACATTGCTTAAAATTTTAAAAATATTAACTAAAAATAAAAAAAAATACGAAAAATAAAAAATTTCAATTTTTAAAAAATTAAATTCAGAAAATAGAAACCAAACACACTAAAAATTACTTTAAAAAACAGTTGTTCTCCAAATATATATATATATATATATAAGGATAAAAACAAAAACACAAGACCTAGACTTAATGTCTATTTCAAACTTACGACCAATCTGTAGTCTAAAGACCTAGGAGACCTACCTAGGAGACCTAGTCAAGCCTAGTCATAGGCGTTTTCAGAAATTTCTACATATACTGACATATAATAAATACAAGGACTTTGTACACAATTATATGCATATTTTTGACAAACTTCCTACACAGATAAAAACAAATATTGGGTTAGGAAACTGATGCCGAGTACTGCTTTGGGCCCTATCGCACATCATTCAATTCTCTCATTTTGATAAAATTTTGACACTATAATTTGTTACAAGACACGCGTAAGGATTCTCACAGCTTTTCTTTAATGGAGCAAGGTAGGGGTCATCTGCTCTATTAAAGTAGTGAGTGAAGGAGAAGCCTTACTACTGACAGATGCAAATAATTACAGAATTTTCACTGATTTTTTTAATATTTTAAGTAATTTTTTTTAATTTTTAGACACACTTAACATAAATACACTTAAAAAGTATATTATTTGTGAAAATATTTAAAAAAATTACTAAATACCAAAAATATAAAAAAATATTAAAATTCAGTATATTTTTTTTTATATTTGTGTATTTATTAATTTTAAAAAATTTTTCACAAATATTTTACTATTTAGATACATCTAAGTAAGGTGTATTTAAAAAAGTAAAAACATTGCTTAAAATTTTAAAATATTAACTAAAAATAAAAAAAAATACGAAAAATAAAAAATTTCAATTTTTAAAAATTAAATTCAGAAAATAGAAACCAAACACACTAAAAATTACTTTAAAAAACAGTTGTTCTCCAAATATATTATTATATATATATATAAGGATAAAAACAAAAACAAAAACAAAAACACAGGTTGTTTGGTAACGTTTATGTATTCAGTTTATATTTACAAAAAAATTAATAAACTGGTTTTTGTTTATTTTTTGTTTATTTTTAGAAAAACATAAACTACAAACGCGTTTGGTAATTGACAAAATGTTTAAAAAAATTTAAAAATATAAAAAAGAGTGAGAAATAGCAAGTGGCGGAAGACGGTGGTGGAAAGTGGTGATCATGGGTGGTGGGTAGCGGGTGCGTGGTGGTGGTGGGTGGATTGGTGGGTAGTCGCGAGTGGGTGGTGGTGGCAGGTAAGTGACGGGTGGTGGGTAGGTGGCCGGTGGTGGGTGGTAGCGATGGGGTGGTGGTGTGGTGGTTGTGGTTGTGTGGTGGGTGGTGGTGACAAGTGGGTGGCGGGTGATGGTGGTGGTGGTAGGTGGCGGGTGGTGATGGCGGGTGGGTGGGTGGTGAGTGGTGATGGCGGGTGGTTGGCGAGTGTGGCGGCGGACGGTGGATGGTAGTAGCTGGTGGATGGCAGTGAGTAGGCGGGTGGTGGTGGTGGTGGCGGCGGCGCGGTGGCGAGGGGTGGTGGGTAGTGGTAACGAGTGGGTGGCAATTGGCTGGTGTAGCTGGTGCGTAGCAGGTTGCTGGTGGTAAG